TAATTGCCATGGTACATTTTGTTCAGAAACAAACTAAAATGCAGACCCAACAGGAGTTTGAAGATTATCTGTGACTTGCATCTACCCATCCCATCGCTCAGCCTCATTCATACAGATGATCAGGAGTTGGCAGAGCTTCACAGATGTGTCTCTGAAGAGAGAGCAAACACTTCTCAATACCCAGATGCCTCTGAAACAGCACACTTTGTTCATTCCCATGGGAAACTCATCTCTTAGAGGGGAGAGGGGAGAGAGGAGAGAGGAGACAGAGAGAGAGAGAGAGAGAGAGAGAGAGAGAGAGAGAGAGAGAGAGAGAGAGAGAGAGAGAGAGAGAGAGAGAGAGATTATATGAAAAATCCCTCTGGTCTGATCTACCTTTGATGGGGACAGGCAGGCCAGGGTGGTGATTTGCTCTGGGCCCAGACATGTACATGTACAGGGATGTATGCATGCTTGTGCATGTGTGTAATATTCAGATCACCTCAAGGCAGTTTTCCAAGAGAGGGAGAAGGAGGGCAGTAGTCATGGTACACTGCTTTCTTTGCCGAGAGCTCTCCTTAGCCTCCAGTTCCCTGCTATCTGCCCTTTTGGGTTCAGGGGCTGCTCTTCGAACTCTGACCACCCAGTGGTGTGAAACTAATGATTAACCCTTCAGCACCAGTGCTGTGGAGTGTTCTCCAGTAATTGGCAATGCAAAACCCATTAGGGGATGGCGTGGGGGTGCTCTGGGTCCATATGTCAGGAGGTTAATGAAAAATTAAGTATTGTATTTTGCTTAGGGTGGGTGAGAATGTTTATGGGTGATGCCTTTTCCTCTTTTCGGCTGGCACCTGAGACCGAGCATCAAGCTGTTGGCCTACTTAGACTGGGTTTCTCCTGAAAGCCTGGTTTGGGTTTTATTTGGGAGGTAGGGAAACTTCTGCCACCAAACCCAAAAAGCTCCCCAGTTCTTCACAGTTCATAAATGGAGACAGCTCCCAGGGGCCACAGAAGAAGTACATTTAATTGCTTAATAATTGCAGGCATTTTGTCTTCAAATGCATTTATTAATTGAAAAAAATGTACTGGTCTAGTGTTTTGGGGTCATATTTAGACTCCTAGAAATGGGTACTCAGGGAGTTTGTTGGAGACCTCTCTTTGGATTCAAGGACCCATTTGTGTGAGTGTATTCTTTATTAATGGGGCTTTGTTCTGGCGGTAACCCTCAGACGGGGATTTTGAGAGGCATACTCATTTTCTTCTAAGGCCTATCAGCATAGTAATCACTCTTGGCTGAAAACCAGCTGCCATTTGCATGTTTAATAAAAATATAACAGTAGCATCACATTCAAAACTATTTCTCCTTTTAGCCTAAGACTTCAAATTGACCTAGTTCCGTATATCTACCATAAATGCTGTTTGCCTCAGGTTGAAGTCTTTAAAATAGGGAGATAAAGCTGAAACAATCTGATTACTCTTCCCTTCCCTTATCACTCACAAACCATCTCTCTTAATTATGGTGTGAGGACATTTACATAGCCAGGGAGAGGGTCCTTTAACTACATTTCTATTATGCGTGGCACTTCGATAAAAGGATATTATATTCATGTGCATTAGTGATTGCTTATAAAAGATCAAGACAATAATAGCCGATTCGGTGATAAAGGTCTCTTTTCTCCTCACAGACAGGCTGTCTCTGACAGAAGAATACAGTTCATCAAAAGTGTCTGCAGGTTGTCAAACTCGGGGAGGTTTGGGGACCCTGTGCGGCTGTCATGGTCAACAAGGAGATTTTCTGTCGGGTTTCTCCATCACTCACCCCGAGGAAATAATCACTCATTGCAGTCTGCATGTTCTCATGATACGGCTCTCCATTTGAGAGAAAAGAGCTATTTCATCAGAGGACAATATAGCCCTTCTCCGGGTCCACGTAGCTTCCATTATCAGACCATAATAAATCATATTTATGCTCTCAGTTAATAAGACTGATTACAACGCAAGTTCCAGACATGGGAAAAGCGAGGCAGGTGAAAAGATGTTTTAATGAAAATATGATAAGAAAGCAGCTTCTCGCGAACATTTTGTGCTATTATTTGTCATGATTACGGACAATTTTTGATGCATCTCCTTTAGCAATGGTTTAAGCTGCATAAATTGGCTCAGTGGAAGATAAGTAAAAATGATAAGAAAAAAATCATAAAATTTTCTTATGTTGTCTAGCATCATTATGTCCATAACAAGTACAAAATAGGTTTAATGTATGTGCCGGGGATAGAGGGGAAACAGAATTTGCAGGAAACTGTGGTTGGGGTATTATTCAAAATGGTTTCAACATTTTCTCCTCATCTTGCTTTTCAGAGGCAGATGCTCCCTGGAATTTGGGTGTCCTAGTCGTTAATTTCATCTTTGCAAATGAACCACCTACAGCCTCGCTGCTTTATTTACCCATAGGGGTTCATTTTCTTCCCTCTTCCTACCCTCCCCCTTGGAGCTCTATACAAAGATATATATATATATATATATATGTATATATAAATAAGTATATATATATTTTTTTCTTGATGTTTAGTGCTAATGGGAGTTAAGTGCCTGCTTGGGAGAAAAGCAGACTCTGAAGTTTAATACTGAAAGCTACCTTATTAAAAAGGTCTGGACATTTGTAGCTTCACTGAGTTCAATTACACTAAAGTACCAACTTTCTAAATTAGTATGAAAAAGGAAAAAAATCAGATAAAATATTGAAATAGCCAGAGTCATTAGCTGTCTAACTCCGAGCGTCTGAAGGCCCAGGACTCAGGGTGCATAGTACAACTTGTTCTTTCATAGTAATTTCCCCATTTATGGTGTAACAAAAAATTTCAGGTTAGAGTTTGACATGCAGAGTACTTCCTTCTACTGTCTGTCTCTAGCTGTGCAGACAGTTTTGTTATTCCCGGGGTTCTTTTCCTCCAAGGCACCAGAGCTCCATGCTCTGGCATTTTGGCCTGGGCGGGTTCAGATCCCACCTTATTTGGGGAAGAGGTAGAGGAACAGGTTGACCTCTTTCTGGCATGTACCTTTAGGCCTCCCACGCATACACAAGAGGGCTCTTTAGGGTTCTGCTTGAGGAACAGGCACTCGACAAATGGAGGAGAGTGTTCTCCATGAGTGCAACGTGGATGGCCTGGCAGACTCTTTCCACTGAGGGAAGCAACTTCCGCAGTCTCAAAGGTTCGGGAGCTGCTCAGAGATGCATGGATGCTGTCGCTTTTGAGGTGGTCTCTATCTGTGAGCACCAGGGACTGCTGATAAAATCAGGAAGGCCCAAAAGACGAACTGCGTAGGCCAACTGAAAACCTCTCTAGGAAGCTTCGTGACTGAAATGGTAAGGGAGGGCATGTCCACATGGTGGGGGCACTTGTGTGTACATGCAGGGTCCCATCCTTCCGAGCAATGTTATCCTCTTTCCTGGAATTAAACGACCATTGAGGTTCCGTCCCCTCCCCTGAGATCCTTGCTTTCTTTGTTGGCAATCTCTCTTTGTTCTATGTTAGCATGAATGAAGAGCAATCGGCGCCCACGCTGTTCACATTGTCTGAATTCCACACAAAAAAACAACTGCCCAGACTTCTGCTGCGTTTTCTTTTGATTTTAGCCTTACTCCATTTTTCTTTTCATAGGGGTGACTGAAAAGAATCGCCTGGGAGGGAATTCCATAATGCTACCATATATCTGCTATCTACTAGGCGTTTTGTTTTAACGTTACTGGACTTGACCACAAAAAGACTTTGACACTGATAAAGAATCTGTCACGTTTGCCCTGATCAGTGTTCTGAAATCACTCATGGCAGGGAAGGCACTCCCTGCCCCTGCCTAACAGTGGTAGATTAGGGAAAAATGATTAGAGTTTTGTCGTTGTGGAGCCATTTCATGGTGGACCCTCTACTGAGCCAAATGTGTTTTGCTTGTCACACTCCATTAGCATGTGTGAAACAGTTGGGAAAATGGCCATATGATTAGACAGAAGGAAACCTGGATTCTTCACATTGGGACTTGTTACCACTGAATAATGTCTTTGCAAGAGGGATTGGTTTAGATTTTGTTAATTTCTCGGGTGATGGAAAATAAGTGGCATTTGTGGAAAGAGTCTACAGAGGTTGGTCACAAATAGTGACTTTAGATTTATGCCATTTTAAATGTTTTAAAGAAGACTTAGAATTGGATCTGGTAGTGCAGGTCTGTAATACCAGCTACTCATGAGACTAAGGCAGGATCATATGTTCAAGGCTAGCTGAGGCAACTTAGTAAACCCCGGCCCCATAGTAAAAAATAAATAAAAGGAATATCACATAATTTGGTGTTAGAGCACTCGCCTGACATGTACAAGGCCCTAGCTTCAACCTCCCAACCCTAGTACTGTAAAAATAACATATCAAGAAACATTTCACGGTTAAATAAAATAAATAAGGAGAGACCTTGTGAGCCCATCATGATAGCACATACTTATCATCTCAGAATTGGGGAGACAGAGGTTGGGAAGATGGCAAGTTCGAGGCCAGCCTGGTGGTCTACATAGCAAGACCCTGTCTCAAAAACAAACCATTCAGCCACCTCCTCAAACAAAAGGATAAAGTCAGTGGGCAAAGAGGGAATCCATACATTTGCCAGAAGAGGCTTTAGTTACTTGTATCTTAAGATGTCTTTCTTGGCCCCAACAGGAACCAAGAAACTGCATTTTTCGTGTCCAACGCCATCTTTATGCAGCAAAGCCAAAGTCTGAGGATTTGTTTTAGTCATGGACTTACTTCTTAAGGCATTCTTACCAGACTAGGATTCAAATTCATTCAATTGTTTTCCTTTGGACATATACACATACACACACACATACACTCACACACACACACACACATACACGTACATATACTCATACACAACACACACACATGCTCATACATATACACATACACACACATACACACACATACACATACATATACATAATCATGCACATCCATATTGCTATTGCTGCTGTTTGTTTTTAGGGAGAGAAGCCAGAGCAAAAGTGACTTGAAGAATGGGAAGATAAGAACAGCTTACATACAGGACATTCCAGTGATACTTAAATACCACGACCTCTGAACTACAAGGTAAGGGCAGAGTAGGCATTGTTTTCTCCTGGGGCAACTGTTGAAGTGCACATTGAATGAAAGACAATCTATTATGGGAAGAAAGAAAGCTCTCCTGACCACTGCCTGCATAATTATGTATGTGTGAGCATGGCAGTGCCCTCAGTATGAGAGCTCATTCCACATATGATCAGGGAATTATTAAATGTTGACTATTAAATATTTTAGTTAGTTTCACACTGTGTTTATCTTTCCAGGATGATGAATATGCAGATTTAGAATGGGATTTCTTCATTTCCAGGCACACTGTGCAGTCAAGTCCTTGGCAAGGTCTAGCTTTTACAGATGGGCGCTCTGATGGCATGACTCACTGTGGCGGGCAGGATCTATGTAGAGAGAGCTCACACCACCTCTAGACTCTGAGAAGGGGAGACATTTGGATGGGCAACTCTATAACTCTGGTGACAGTCTCTGGGCACTTGCGCAAAATTATGACCTGATTTAGTGATTTTGGATAACAGTTCCCTAGCCCAGACCCAAGCAGGGACAGTAAACATACGCCACTGCCAAGAACAGGAAGGGGAAGGGACTAACCGGAGGACAAGGGGAGAGCGGGCTATGCCCCTGGACAAGCGGCCTTGCAGGCAGCAGTAACCATGGAACACATACCTCTGTCTTCAGCTTGTCCAGCATGTCTGGCTTCATGACTCCAAGTCTTGGTCCAGGAATGCTGTGTTGTTCTCTCCTGTGACTGCACAGAATATGTTTGTCTTGTTGAAGGCCAGCCCAGGACTAATTTTGAAAAGTGAATCTGGGAAACCGCTTGATTTCATTTCCCTGGAGATTTTTCTGGGACAAAGTTAGAAGGGACAGTCAGGCAAGCAAAGGAGAAGTCAAAGGCGGGGGATGCAGAATGTTTTCTCCCTGGCTCCTGGACTATGAATGGAGTTTAATGGATTTTCAGTAGGCAGTGACGATTTTTAAGACTGCATTGCTGAGTTTTACAGCCCATGAGATACAGCTATAAACTCAGCAATCTTTAACTCACATGTCTTCTTGGACATCAGGAAGGAAGGCACAAGGGAGTGTGTCCGAGCGACTCAGCTAGTATCTGCTGAAGGCCTACTCCCAGGGACTGTGACATCCTACTCTCTAGTATTTTCTGAGCACCAGGGACTGTGACATCCCACTCTCTAGAATCTGCTGGGCACCTACTCCCAGGGACTGTGACATCCCACTCTCCTTGCTGCACCATCTCTTCCTTGGGGACAGGGCTCAGCTTGTAGAGTGCTTGTCTAACGTGCAGAAGGCTCTGGGCTTGAGCCTTAGCACTACATGGACTGGGCCCGGTAGAAGATTCCAGCACTCAGGACGTAGAGGCAGGGCAACCAGAAGCTCAAAGTGGTCTTTGGGTAGACTGAGCTGTGTGAGGAAAAGAAAAAGGAAAGAACAAAGACAGGGCTTTTGATTAGTTCTTAAAAACGAAATGGCATTTTAGAGAAACTCTGAAGTGAACTTGATTTTCCTAAGGGGTCAGTGGAAGGTGGCATATCTTTCCAGGATGATGAATATGCAGATTTAGAATGGGATTTCTTCATTTCCAGGCACACTGTGCAGTCAAGTCCTTGGCAAGGTCTAGCTTTTACAGATGGGCGCTCTGATGGCATGACTCACTGTGGCGGGCAGGATCTACGTAGAGAAAGCTCACACCACCTCTAGACTAGAGGGGCAGGAGCTTTGGACTTGTATGTTCCACTTCAAGCCCTGACTTTCTGATTATGATGCTGTGGAGCCTGTCATTCTATTCCAGTTTCCTTAGGTATGATGGCTGTCAGTCCTGCCTCCCACTCCTCCTGTCCTTCACCTTCTCTCCTTCTACCTGGTAATCTAGTGAATGACCTAAGAGAGTGAGCCATCCTGGGGTACTAGTGACCTGAGAACGTGAGTCATCCAGGGGACTAGTGACCTGAGAACGTGAGTCATCCAGGGGACTAGTGACCTGAGAACGTGAGTCATCCAGGGGACTAGTGACCTGAGAGAGTGAGCCATCCTGGGGTACTAGTGAATGACATGAGAGAGTGAGCTATCCTGGGGTACTTGTCAATGACATGAGAGAGTGAGCTATCCTGGGGTACCAGTGACCTGAGAGAGTGAGCCATCCTGGGGTACCAGTGACCTGAGAGAGTGAGTCATCCAGGGACTAGTGAACAATCCAAGACAGTGAGTCATCCTGAGGTACTAGTGAATGACATGAGAGAGTGAGCTATCCTGGGGTACTAGTGAATGACATGAGAGAGTGAGCTATCCTGGGGTACTAGTCAATGACATGAGAGAGTGAGCCATCCTGGGGTACCAGTGAATGACATGAGAGAGTGAGCTATCCTGGGGTACCAGTGACCTAAGAGAGTGAGCCATCCTGGGGTACTAGTGAACGACCTAAGAGAGTGAGCTATCCTCTCCGAATGGCCACACCTGCCCTCTTGGTGATTCTGGTTGTCTGTTTGATCCAAGTGGAGTAGGGGTTGGAGGTAGGACAGTAGCCTGGGGGTCAGGAGGAGAGGGAGAGGGACTATCTGCCCTACCAGCTGGATCTCTGATAGCTGTGAGGCTATCACAGCTTGCACGCTTGCGCTGGGCTGACCTCCTGGGCCCTGGTTGAAACCGTCAGGAGCAGAGCGAGGGAGCTAACATGTATTGGCAGTTAACACATACCCTTTGCCTTTGGTGTGTTTGTTTCCCAAACACTGTTTTATGTAACATGCCTATGAGCAGAATAGATTTGGCAAGCGATACCCTAGAAGGAAAGCAGGAGTTCAGAGCCGGGCCTGTCCTCTCCACAGACCTGTCCTGTGGATGTGGCCTCCCAGGAGCTTTCTGGGACTAGATGATCTCTAGGATCTACCTCTACCCAAAGTGGCCCAACAGTGACTAAGCTTCCAGAGGGCAGGCATTCAACCTTGTCTCTAAATCCTTATTCCTACCCCTTCCCTTTAATGCTTAGCAAAAGACTAGATACATGGCAGCAGCTGGCGTTCATTGCTCCATTTAATTCTTCTGTGACTGGAAAGCCACCCCGAATCTCCGCAGTACTTTAGAGCTGTTTAGAATGTTGGAAGCTGGCAGGCGACTGCTCATGGCCTGTCACCATCCTTCCATTCCTAGGATCCAGGGGTGACTCTTGGTTCACAATGGCTGCTTCTCCAGGCTCAGCACCAACTCAGGGGTTCCTGAGTTTTTTCTGGGCAACACCAGCCTTGACCATGATTCCTGATTGGTCAAGGAGTGGACAATGACTTCGAAGGAGGCCAATCAGAATAATTCTCTAAGGCTTCCTAAATTGCGACCTAGAGAAGACTGGTGGTAGCAGCTGCTGGATGCTGGACTGGAGAGTTTTTATGGCCGTGTTTCATTTCCTGTTGTGTAAAGGCCGTGGAAGAAGAAAATAGAGTCCCTCAGGGAAGATTGGCCCAGGTCTGTTGTGACACGGCTGCTGTCCCTCCTTCTTGTGCATGACACGGCCTTGGTTTCAGAGGACAGAGGTGGCCTTTGCTCTGGTGCTGGCTACTTCAGGGATCCGGAAGCATTCTCTTCATTCCCTCCCAGGGACCTGCCTTTCTTTGAAGGCCAGTAGTCTCATGCTTTTCTTGAACCACCCACGCTGTGTATTGTACTTGTCTCCTAGACAGGAGCGGGACTTCCTTCCCCCGTGATAAAGGTAGTCAGTCCTGGAACCAAGACCTCCACAGTGCTTTGAGGCTAAGTAATATCCAGGTGTATGGGCCCTGGGCCTTGCAATTAAGGCCAGAGAAACCCCGGGAACCTGTTGCTACTCTCCCGAGAGAAGCCTGGTCAGCCTGTGAAAGGTCTACCCCTGCCATGACCCTGTCTCTAGAGAGTTAGCTATCCTGGGGTACCAGTGACCTAAGAGAGTGAGCCATCCTGGGGTACTAGTGAACGACCTAAGAGAGTGAGCTATCCTCTCCGAATGGCCACACCTGCCCTCTTGGTGATTCTGGTTGTCTGTTTGATCCAAGTGGAGTAGGGGTTGGAGGTAGGACAGTAGCCTGGGGGTCAGGAGGAGAGGGAGAGGGACTATCTGCCCTACCAGCTGGATCTCTGATAGCTGTGAGGCTATCACAGCTTGCACGCTTGCGCTGGGCTGACCTCCTGGGCCCTGGTTGAAACCGTCAGGAGCAGAGCGAGGGAGCTAACATGTATTGGCAGTTAACACATACCCTTTGCCTTTGGTGTGTTTGTTTCCCAAACACTGTTTTATGTAACATGCCTATGAGCAGAATAGATTTGGCAAGCGATACCCTAGAAGGAAAGCAGGAGTTCAGAGCCGGGCCTGTCCTCTCCACAGACCTGTCCTGTGGATGTGGCCTCCCAGGAGCTTTCTGGGACTAGATGATCTCTAGGATCTACCTCTACCCAAAGTGGCCCAACAGTGACTAAGCTTCCAGAGGGCAGGCATTCAACCTTGTCTCTAAATCCTTATTCCTACCCCTTCCCTTTAATGCTTAGCAAAAGACTAGATACATGGCAGCAGCTGGCGTTCATTGCTCCATTTAATTCTTCTGTGACTGGAAAGCCACCCCCGAATCTCCGCAGTACTTTAGAGCTGTTTAGAATGTTGGAAGCTGGCAGGCGACTGCTCATGGCCTGTCACCATCCTTCCATTCCTAGGATCCAGGGGGGTGACTCTTGGTTCACAATGGCTGCTTCTCCAGGCTCAGCACCAACTCAGGGGTTCCTGAGTTTTTTTCTGGGCAACACCAGCCTTGACCATGATTCCTGATTGGTCAAGGAGTGGACAATGACTTCGAAGGAGGCCAATCAGAATAATTCTCTAAGGCTTCCTAAATTGCGACCTAGAGAAGACTGGTGGTAGCAGCTGCTGGATGCTGGACTGGAGAGTTTTTATGGCCGTGTTTCATTTCCTGTTGTGTAAAGGCCGTGGAAGAAGAAAATAGAGTCCCTCAGGGAAGATTGGCCCAGGTCTGTTGTGACACGGCTGCTGTCCCTCCTTCTTGTGCATGACACGGCCTTGGTTTCAGAGGACAGAGGTGGCCTTTGCTCTGGTGCTGGCTACTTCAGGGATCCGGAAGCATTCTCTTCATTCCCTCCCAGGGACCTGCCTTTCTTTGAAGGCCAGTAGTCTCATGCTTTTCTTGAACCACCCACGCTGTGTATTGTACTTGTCTCCTAGACAGGAGCGGGACTTCCTTCCCCCCGTGATAAAGGTAGTCAGTCCTGGAACCAAGACCTCCACAGTGCTTTGAGGCTAAGTAATATCCAGGTGTATGGGCCCTGGGCCTTGCAATTAAGGCCAGAGAAACCCCGGGAACCTGTTGCTACTCTCCCGAGAGAAGCCTGGTCAGCCTGTGAAAGGTCTACCCCTGCCATGACCCTGTCTCTAGAGAGTTAGCTTCACCTGGCAGGCTCTGCGGTGCTGCTTCCGTGCACCATGCTGTGTTGTGATATGAGACGCTGAGGAACAGTGGCCTTCACCAGCTTCTGAGGTTCCTACCTGCATGTACACTCATGTCTGCCTGTGTGAAAATCTAGAATTCTCAAATGGTTAGTCAGGGAGCAAGGCGTGAGAAAGAGACTGGAATGTACTGCTAATGAGGTGTTTCCAGCAATTAATTAGGAAATATAAGGGGCCGTAACTGGATTCTGTTTTCAAATTTTAGAGCTAGATAATCCTGGACATATGTTGAATGAATAAAAAGTGATGTCTGAGTCCATCCTGTTGGACTGGGTCACAGAATTTTCATATGTCAGAAGGTTCTTGTTGGCCTGTTACATGTTGAAAAT